TGGAGCTGCATTCTGCACAAAAATGCAGCAGGGTTCAAGCCCTAAGAGACCCAACACCCAACCCAAGACCCTGGCACAGAATGAATCCTGCCTACCAAAGGGCAGCCTGAAAATAGCCTGACATTTTAAATTGGCTGCAGTGTGAAGCTCACTCTAGGTCTGTGCTCTTCTTCCCCAAGAGGTGAGTCTTGACCGGAGGCCATGGGAAGAAGCTTAATAAAATATGACTTTTCCTGGGACAATTAAAATCAGAGGTTGCCTGAAAAAGGGTAAGTAGGAACATGTGACATTGTTGATAGGCTTTCAGGCAGGGAAGCATGCTGTTTGAAGAATGTAACAGAGGACACTAATGATGACAGGTTCAAAAGGCATTTAGAAGTTGGGTTTCTATTTGGCTTCATGAAATCTGTCTTTGGTAGCCTCACTCAAATCAAAATCACAAATCTATCTCCTGCAGGTTCCATTTAATCTTTGGCCTTTATAATTTCTAAAAATACAGCAGCAGCTTATGCCATGGGAAATAGTTGTTGTTTGCTCTTATGACCATATTTTGGTCTGAAGGACCTCCTAAGTCATTATTGGGATTTGACTGAATATTGTACTTGGACATATTCAATGGCTCTGGCCATCCTGGTGGTCAGAGGTCAACAGCTATTAACTGTTCCTTTCTTAGGTAGGGGTGCAGGTTGTAGGACTACCACACCTCAATGGCTTCTCCTACATGTTTTCCCAGCCTCCCCTGCACTCATCACACTCATCTCAGTCCCTGAAGGGCTGTGTATTTATGACTATTCTTGATTTCTTAGGTGCTCATGCTTATAATAGCTCTCTTAGATCAGATCTATTTGGCTCCTGATAGGATAACTCATTCTCAGATGTTACAGCCTTCAAGGCATTCCAGGAAATGAATCAAAGGGACCCCTTCACTTGCTGCTGTGCCAAGCATAGGAAGGACTGCCTGAAAGTCCACCTTCTGAACCAAAATGTTGGAAACTGGATGAGCTGTGTTTTAAGAGGGTAGCCTCTTTCTTCACCTAATATTCTTTAAGAACAATATTTCCAAAAGCGTAGATATTCTAAGAAAAAAAAAAAAGTTCCTTGATAAATAAATCTGGGAAATGGTAGATTAAGTAAAATCAGAGGAGTTTTTTTCTTGTTTATTTTTTTAGAGCCCTTGATCCACTAATTGGACAGGACTCTCCAAGACCGATTTCTAATATGGAGCATTTTCCCAAAAATTTTTGCCCACCAAAGCTTTGTTTCAAAACTTTCCTCACGGGACTAATGTTCCAAAGATTACTTTAAGAAATACTAGTCTAGATTTATAACTCTTGGATTCAGTTTCCCCCAAGTAGAAACCAAAATCGCAGTGAAGGAGAGAAGGATAGAGAGGAAATGGAAAAAGAATCTAATTCTGCAAGTACCTCCCAATACTTAAACTGAATTTCCTAAGGAAAAAAGAGTTTCTGTGGAAAATTAGCAAAACTCATTGCCGACAAGTGGAGTCCAACTCAGAATGACCCAAAGGGACAAAGTGGAACTACCCTATAGGCTTTCCAACACTGTAAATCTTTATGGAAGCAAACTGCCACATTTTTTCCTATGGAGTGGCTGGTAGGGTTGAGCTGCCAGTCTTCTGATTAGCAGCTGAGGACTTTAATCACTGCTCCACCAGGGCACCTTCGAATTAGCAAAGTGACTGGTTTTTCACAGTTTTTGGTTTCGTGTGTTCTTATCTATTAATAAAGCTCAAGAGGCAATGTCAACATTTTGTAGCCTCTCCTCCAAGAAGCACTGTTGGTCGACTTTGAGGGTCACAGAAGTTCAGAGCTGGAAGGCTCATGGGAAGGGAATCAAGAATCTCTAGAAGAGATCTCTCCGCTTTAAGTCCATTCAGCTAACATGAGTATACTATAAACATTTAAATTCCAGCCCAGTCAAATCATTATTCAGAATCTCATGTTGTCATACATTGACATAAGGCTGAGGAAGCTTCACCCTTAGAATTCTCTACCCCATATATACCAGTATTGGTATGTACACAGTTATGTGTAGTGTTTGTAATCAATTGGGAAAGACTTTCCTAGCTTGTCAACGACTGTTACATTTGGGGGCCAATACATATTATAATGCACATATTGATAAATGAGTTGCTGCAGATAGCTAAATCTCAAGTCTCCAGTATGTGGGAGGACATCAGTGTCCTAGACCTGGGACAGCTACTCAGAAAGAACACTTAGTCCAGGGCTTTTACCCATCTTCATCATTAGAGTCAACCTAATCTCATACCAGGGCTCCCTATTTAACCCTCCCTATTCTGTAATTAGGAGCTCTGGTAGCATAGTGGCTAAAGCACTTGACTGCTAACCAGAAGGCTGGCGGTTCAAACCCACCAGCCACTCCTCAGAAGGAAGGTTGGGCAACCCTACTTCCGTAGTGATACTGCCTCGGAAACCCAAGGAGGGGTCGCTATGAGTCGGGGCCGACTCCACAGCACATAACAACAATTCTGTAATTGAAAGAGTACAGCGAGGGAGACTTCTAGCCTTGCTGACTTCAACTTAAACCTACAAAATTATCCTTTTGGTCAGGGATAGTTCACATTCACAGTAAAACCTACTTGCAGAGGAAGTTCTTAAGTCATAGGCCCCTAATAAAGTCCTAACTACCTTTTATCTGTCTTATTTTGATTGACATGATTCAAGTGGTCATCAAATAACTGAATGAGATAAAAGAGGACCTGTTCCTATCCTAAGGCTAGTGAATTCCTTGAAAGTAGAGTTATACTTGGCCCGTCACACTCTTCTCAGAGCTCAGTGTAATGGCTGGCCCAAAACAGATGCTCAGAATGTTAGGTGAATTAACTCATAACTAGCAGCAAGTCTTCAGTCAGCTCAAGCTCTTTTGGGGGCCTGGATCTCTCATCTGTGGAGGAGAGTAAAAGCTTAGAGTGTTCACTGAGATGAAGGATTTGAAAGTGGAAGGCCATCCTCCTAACAGCATTCTTGAAAAAGGTTTATCAGACATCATACTACATGGTTTGAGCTAAAAGCTCCCCAAGGAACACTAACTCTTCTGGGAAGGCATCACCCTTGAGCAATCATTTTTGCCCTATGACAACCTCTAGTGTCAGTGGGTAAGCATGAGACAGTCAAGAGAGTAGCTAATACATACTACTTTGTGACTGCAGATCTTGGGAGAAGTAGTAGGAGACCAGCTTTTGCAACTAATATTCACAAGGCATATATGTTTTATAAGGTGCCCCATCTCCAGCAGAACAAATTATCATATGTATTTCTATGATGAGGCAAACTATTTTGTTATGTCAGCAGGTCCTTGGGAGACCCACATCCCAAATTTGGCTCCAAATCATTCTCTCTGTTCTCACATTGATCTCTCTTTCTTTCTATGGGAAAACTCAGAGTAGCCTTCTGGTAGGTGTGGCTCACAGGAACAGACAGAGTAGGGTCTACAGGTCCCTCACAAATAAAATCTCACACTTATCTCTCCCCAAAGAATGCAAAGGAGCAAAGGGGTGGAGACCAAGAATGAGAACAAAGAGATTTTGCTGTTAGGAGGGTGGCAGGTACTGGGTCAGGTGAATGTGGGGAGGTGATGATGGTGAACAAATAAAACCAAAGCAAAACAAAAACACAGACTTATAAAATGATGACATAAGATTAATACTTCTCTTCACTTCCCAGCTTTCCAAACCAAGAAACATTCCTGAGAGCTAAACACACAAGCTAGTGCCTTTCTGCACTTGGCTTCAGAAATCGGAACACCCTATGTGAAAACCTGCTGCAGTGTTAGGGTCTCTGGGGGCAAATACTTCCAGGTGCAAGAACAAGGCCAAGCTTAGGGGTTGGTGAGACTCCTCATCAGGGTCACCTCACTTTGCAGCTCCAGGGAGCACCTCTGATGTTGGGCTCTATTAAATAGCTTCCCCTGGAGTTGTGCTCCTGGTAAAACAGCTTGGAGACTTAGAATCTTAATACTTTGGGATGCTAGTGAAATGATGTGAAAAGGAAATAGAGCCACTGGAATAAAAACTTTAGGAGCAAAACAAGCACCCTTTCTCCAATAAATGAGTAACCCACCCCTGCCAAGACAGGTAATTCCAGCAAGTCCTCCACCTCACATATCCGAAAATACATAGCACAAAGACATTTGCATTTTTCTTTATGATTCTATCCAATGACCTACTGCTCCATACTTCCTGAAATTTATTGTGTAAGTTACACCAGAAACACAAGAAATGGGAATACAGTACAACAAAGGAAGAAATCTGCTAGCACTGACTACATTGTTATGCTAGTTTACATTTAATTTCAAAATTCATAATTTCCATAAAATTTACTTTCAGGAGTTTTAATGTTAAACACAAAACAGTTTTTGCATTTGGTAGGTGAATGAGAACATCATTGAAAACTGCAGTGGGGTTTTGTTTTTGTTAATCCATCTTTTCATTTGCTTTTACTTAGTCAACAGAGAAGATGGGGTTCAAGTCAAATAAACCATATCCCTTGACTCAGTGACTAAAAGGCAAGCAAAACTGATTTCTGGTCATGTTGTTTTACTCCAATGTTAATTTGCACCACTAAGAAAATTTCTAGGAAAGTGCTCAGGAAAAGCAAGGCTTCTCTGGTTGCTAAGTTCATGGAAATAAAGTACTTTTCCTTAAAACTCTGAAAGAGACATTCCAAAGTAACCCACCATTAGATACTGAGCCAGCAAGAGACTACATATCTAGGAAAGAAGAAAGGAGGGGAGGAAAGAAAATGCATAACATAAACAAGAAAAGACAAAACCTTAAAGAGGAAGGAGAAAGGAAAACATTTAGATTCCTTGAGTGATGGAAATAAATACCAAAGCTATTAGTTTCAGTTCAAAGAACGTATCACTTTATGCTGTTTATTATTTCTTGAGGATTATTTATTTTATCTTAAAATATCCAAAGGGTAAAAGGGGTCCTGGAGGTAAGTGGTGGTGAAACTGACCTGGTCCGGAGAGGGCCTGTGGTTGGAATGCTGTGACCTCCCGGGAGATCGGTGGTGGTGGTGGTGGTGGTGGTGGTGGTAATGGTGATGGTCCTCATCGTAGTTGTCTGCCATTAGCTTCATTCTGTTCTGGGTCTGTGCAGGGAGGGAAAAAAAAACCAGGGAAGATTCCATCAGGAGCTACAAGACTAGCCAAAGAGACTCAGGGCATAATTACTGTACCTATAGCGCTCCTTTTGTTCCTAATCCAGAAGGTTTTCTTTTTAGTAAAACTGAAATTTAATAAAGAAAGCACCGTGCCATTAGCTTCGATGAAAGAGGCTTTGTCACATCCTTGAAGTGACTGTGTTCTTGGAGCTACATTTATAGATGTAAATGCACTTCCCCCTTATGATTTAAGGGGAGAAATGGACATATTGTAAAGTGCTTTGCTTTTCCTTATCAAGAAATCAGAGTTCCAGAGTAAGCTTGTAGCACAAACTGCCAACAATCACATCCTACAACTCTAGAGCAAGCAAGAGAAAGACATCCTGGTTGAAAAGGTGAGAAGGGGCTGGGTGGAGAGAGCAGAAGTACAGATGCATTATGGCTTCATGAGACAAGGCAGTGGAATCCACTAAAAGCTGCCAACTGCAAAAATATTGATGGAGATGGTTTGTTGCCATTCACTTCTAGGAAACGGGCTCTCTGCAGACCATCTTAATTGATCTTGTTCCTTAGGGAAACTGGGCGAAAAAAAGCCAAGTCAATGGAGAAGAACTGACTGTTCTAATTTACACTTCATGATGTGTGTCCCATGAAGAAACTGGGCATCGTAGTTAAAATGTTGGGCTATAGAATTGTATTGTTTTATTATGCAGCACCAGAAATAGAAAAGGGAAAACTTGACCCAAAGGGATCACAAAATGTAGAAAAATACTTGAAGACCATTGAAAAGACGGATAGAAAGATCCAGCTCAGAAAGCCATATGATATCGAGGAGACAAATGTGGGTTTGAGGATAACTACTTGGATTGAAGTCCCTTGCCAAGTTAACTGTTTCTAAGTCTCAATTTAACTCTAAAATGGGGTAACAGTACTTCTTTCCCTGAAGTTGCTGTAAAGAGCAAGTGATAAGATGGACTTCATATGTCAGCCCACTGGCATGTAATGAGCCCACAATAAAAGCCTAATACTGATACTACTATGACTGTTTTTATTGTTCAGTATAAGAAATTTCTCCTTCTTAATGTACCTGCTGCTCCTCTGTCTGTGATATCTCACCTGTCCCTTTTCTTTGCTTCTAATTTCTGTGTCTGGCTAACTCAATGCTTCTCTAGGCACTTTTCCTAGCCCCACCCGAAGTCAGCTGACATGTGCTCATTGCTTACCTCTGTTCTAGAAACAAGGATGTCCATCTCCCTGGACACCTTGAGCATACTGAAGGCAGAAGTGATTTCTTTCATGTACCCTCTCCCCAGATTCTAGCACATGATCTAGTGAATAATGGACATGCAACACACGTCACTGGAATGAGTGGATAGAAACATGGAAAGGCCATGATTCTGAGGGATGCTGCTGTAGCAGAGATGAGCTGCATGTTTATAGCCAGGGAAGGTCACTGAGAGTTACAGATATAGCTCATGAGTTGCCATAATAATCCCACTGGTGGCTGGAGATGACAAGAAGCTATCAGTTTTTTAAGAGAGCCAAAAATCAAGGGCTGGCAGAGCTTCTAATCAGTTGGAGTTATATTGTGTAATATAAATAATACTCTGATAATAAAGATAATTCTGGACCCAACATAGTGCATTCTTGTAGTGTTTTTCACATGCAATCTAACTTAGCCTCAAAACATTCCTGGGAGAAAATATTACGATCCTCATTTGGCAGCTGGAAAATTAATGCATAGATTTCAGCCCCCAGAGTCTCTTTCTTGACCCAGGGCTTAGAACATTTCTGGGCCCTTCAATTTTCAAGCTTTAGTCTTTTCTCCTCACCATGCTGCTAGCAGAAGAGGCAGACAGCTAAACAGGTAGAAGGGGCTTCCCCATAAACTCTCCAGTTCTGCTAAGTTTTGGCAACACTTCACATTCACATCCCAGTTCTACCTGCCATAGTATGCCTCGTGACTTGCTCTCTCCATATTTTAAAATGTGTACGATATTTGAAAGTTTTGTGTACAATATTTGAAAATACTGTGTACAATAGTTGAAAGGCCCCAGAGTGGATGTTAAAAAAAAAAAAAAGAAAGAAAGAAAGGCACGTGTATGGATAAAAACAATAAAACGAGAGGGAATGAGTCAATTAAAAATTAAATAATAATGATAATAAAATCCCAGACAATCTTTGGCAGCTGATAGCATTTCCATCCTTCACTTGTCCACTTAACATGTCAGAAGACCCAATAGACAAGTTATTTCTTGTGAGAAAGAACAGGTCAGTGGAGCTGTTGCAGACCAAGTACTAAGGTCCACCTCATTTGCCCGCCCTTGAACACAAGATTCTGAGACTCAGCATTCACACCTAAAATTCCAGTATTGTATTGGCAGGAGTATGTACTCCTGAACTTGTGAACTAATAATAAATTTGAAATAGTTTCTTCTAGTAGAATTCTGAGAGCCTGAAGGGAGCTATGAGATAGATCTGCCATGGTCAAGAATAAAGGGCCTCACCCAAGAATGAACGATGGGGCCTAAATGAACAAATAATAACTCTGCTATTGTAAACATCATCATGTCCTGATCCTTTGGGGAAGCTGCTGTGATTTTATGAGATTATTTTCTTACCAGTGACAAGCCCAAAGTTCCATACCTTTGAACTGTATCCCACAAAGGAATGCACAAGCTAAACAAGATGCTATATGCAGTCCTAAACGTGTCTGCTGCAATGAGGTGTTGGAGAGTAGGCATGTCATAGGATAAAGACTGTAAATGAATGATGTCATCTTTCCAATTTGGTGCTGAAATATAAATAAACCTCGTTGTTCATGTGAATACCAGATCTGGGGGAAATGTACACAGAGCAATTGTGAGCGGAAGAGGCTTCTTTTGATTAGTCTGGGCTGGAAGAGAAGAGTGTGAAATGGAGATGAAAAATGAGAGTTTGGTCTGATACCCTAGACCGTTTTTATTTATCTTGCTTGTAACATATCCCCTAAACTGTGACCGATTTCTTACAGGCTGGTTGCTAGTTTTTTTTTTTTTTTTTTTCTAGAAAAGGGTTTGAGCAGTCCTGTACCCATAAGTGTCAAGTTCATAATGGATCTCTTTTAACTTTAAAAAGCAAAACAAAAGCTGCCCTACCTATCCTCACCCACACCCAATTGTATTGGTCTCCCAACAAGTACAAAAAATTGGTAGGATAGAAAGCCATGAATAACATTCCCTAAAGTCAATGGAAGAAAACTCACAGAAAATTGTAACAAGGACTGGAGCAGTACTGCTTGTCCCAATACTCCGGACATGCTGACCAGGTGATTCCGTGTGCAATGGTCCATACCCCTGTAGCCATCAGACACACAAGGGCCCCCACTACAAAGTGTTAAACAGCAAATCTTCTGGGCAGTCATAACTAAAATCTCAGGAAAACTAATACAGAGTTGAGGTGTGATAGTTACCACAATACAGCCCTTGGGAACTCATGGACTCATTTAGTGATCCATGGAAGTCCATTCTTATTTTTTTCTTCTTTTCTACCAAATGGTGACCTTATACTTCTGTTTTTGACCAGTTGTGTTGTATTCTTTTTACTATGTTATATCATGACTACTGAAACAAATCTAATCAGATTTCATTTTCTACTTCCTCCTTCCTCTAGGCACACTTTATTTCTCTAGGGCAACAGCCTTCTATCAGCTCTCCTGTCTCATTCTTTCCTCCTACTGAAGGCATTCCATAGCCAGTGTTAGTCCAGACTCCTTGTTACTTTCTGGATTCAAGTCCTTCAAAGTCTCCCTGGTGTTCTCAGGAAGAGTCCCAGCTCCTTGGAGTGTCTTACCAGGCTCTGGGAGGTAGCTCCTGCTTACCTCTCCAATGTCACCTCACCTCTATGCCTTGGGATATGCTCTTTATTGTTTCTGTCCTACTTTTCATCCTGTACCTCCTCACCTGAGTTACATTCATTAGTTCATCTGGCCTTAGCTTCAACACCATCACCTCCAGAAAAACCTTCTCACAGCCCACCTCAGAATGGATTAAGTGCTCTTCTACAGTATTCCACAGAACCTTCTACCTGTGCACCCCCATCACTGCACTAACTTCAATTTATGATATATGACTGCATGTTTACTTGGCTTTCTCCTCTACTAGGTTGCAAATCCCTATTGGGCTATTGGGCTTTTTTTTTTTTTTTTTTTTTAAGGGAAGCACTGTCTGGGTTACCCTTGTACTCACCACCTAACACAGAGTCAAGTAAATAATAAGTAAATGTGTGTTGAATGAATGAAAGATTGTATGTAAGTTTCCATGTGATAGTTTAAGTCTCCCTGCTGTATATTTGTTTTTTCTTGTTTGTTATTCTTAGGGGTGGGCAGGCCAAGATAAGTGCATAGTATGGGGTCTGTTGGAAAAGTTGTATTGGTCTCCTTCCAGAAATATTCCATGCCTTAACCCAAAGAGGGGTCGCTATGAGTCGGATCCAACTCGGTGGCAATGGGTTAGTGGGTTGGTAACTTGGACCCTGTGAAATACTCCACCATCTTTCCTATTACTTACCCTATTGAAAATAAAGGGTAATATTGGTGCTACAGGGTTCATTTCCCTACTGTCTTAACAGCTTTCAGAAGAGCAGAGCTTACCCCAAGGCATAAGCCAATCACCTTTGCTAGTTTTGTACTCTTTTTTGCCCTCAAAGTCAATCGTGGAGAACTGAAACTTTAGCCATTAATTAAAATCCCTGATGAACACCACCTGTGAAAAGGTGCCAGCTACTCCATCTCTTTTGACATTTCTAAAGGGTTTATCCAAGGAGCTCTTTTTAAAAAATGAAAATCCTTGACTGACTAGTAATAGACTCAATACCTTAATGGCAATATGTAGCTATAAAAGTATAATATTAAAACTGCCTCTAAAAATATTTTAGCAAGGTGGCAATAACAAACTATGCTTTGATCAGTCATCTGGATCAAGTTAACAATAAAACCTTCATGAATATGG